TACCCCCCAGACACAGACGTTTTCTTTCCCAGCGCCCCGCTTCCATTGCGCTAAGCTAACTTTGGCTAGAGGAAGCCCCTTCGATGAGGTAGGGCGCCGTATCATTGGCTGTGGGAGAAGCTGAATTCCGCCGAACCGGACTAGAACGCTCATGTGGGTCTCTGGGAGAGAAAGCGTGTGTGTCTGGGGGGTAAACTGTTTTCGAAATCCTCTGTATGATGTAAGTGGTACTGAATTTCCTTTTACCTGCTTATGTCCGACAAGATTCGCGGAGAAAAAGGGAGTTAATTCCGCTAATTTAATGTCTAGTCCTCTTTGTTTCGATGGATTCTTTGATACTCAATCCGGAATCAGAGGCATTTTAAGCTTTATTAGAGTGAACCTTTTTTTACTTCCTGTGGGACTAATCTGCCATATTCATGCCATGTTTCCCGCATCTAATCCCTACAGTGGGGGCGAAGACCTGTTTTCACCATTCCCTTCTTTAGTGTACGAGAGGGAAAGGCGTTAACAGTCAGTTCCCTCCCCCCCAATCTCCGGGGGGCTGCCCCGAAAACTGCGCTCCACGGTTTAGCAAGCACGCTAGTGAGTGTTTAGCTAAACGGCCTTCTCCATTTATAAGCAATTAATCTATAGTTCCGCACTGACATGAGATCATTAGTCGACATGGCCATTGATGTAAAAGATCACTTACCCTCTCACATTCATTTTATTTAGTGCCGTGCCTCCCTCTCTTTCTTTCGACAGAATAAGGCCCTTTTAAAACTCCCTGTTGTGTATTCTTTGACTCTGTTACTCAATGTGGGAAGATCGCTTCATACGCCACATACTCTCATTTCAGCAACAATTTTCGTTCAAGAACAATAGGATTCCTGTCTCAGCTGCCGTCGGCATTGCCACAGGCTCGTTGGTGGTCGGCATATGGGTGGTCCGCGATTACCAACGTTGGCGGTCCTTTGGCGTCGGCGGAAGCCCACCTAATTCATATGGCTACTCTCGAAGCTTGCTCCTTGGCCTCGTCAACAAGGTTACATTCTACAATACTCGAGATGCTTCGTCACTCTCTGCAACAAACTCCCCAAGACTGATCCTGGATGACGAACTGCCGACACGACAAGGACCATCTGTCCGGATCTTATTCCCGCCTTTGCCTCATCGGCAGGCTCCTGAACAACTGTCTGGCAATCTCCAGAACAAACTCCACGCCTTGATCCCCGCCCTGGGATTGGCGCGTCCTGACCTTTTTGAGATCCGAGCTAGTCAAACTGAAGGAGGCACTACATCCGCACTTTATGCTCGTGCCGAAAATCCCAAGCTGAATCCTGTTGCCAGAAAGCCGTTTTATACATTAGATAAAGAGATCGCACATATCCATCCGGAGGATAACTCCCTACATGTGTGGTTAAGTGAAGCGGACGCAAAGGCGGTTATCGAAAAGGGCTGGGGTGAACGATTCGTGGTTAGCCTTGCGCCAAATGGGTTTGTCATGGTGTATGCCCCAAGGAGCGAGGATGAGCTGAGGACAGTGGAGTGTATCGTGAAGGGCGCAGCAAAGTGGATTTCTGGTGCTGATGACCTGTAGTAATAAATGCGAGATAAGTCAGAACTGCGTATGTGGAGACTATTTTCCGATTCGAGCTCGTTGAATAATCTTCCATTTCCCCAAGGTCCATAGTCGGTAATTAACTGTCTCACCCTGAGACTCTCAGCATCGAGAGATATCTTCGAATTATAATCAATGCTTGGCCATTGGTTCCATTTTTGTTCTACTCTACAATCCAACCCTCCATTGACTCCATCATGGAATATATAGCCACCAGAAGGAATATGAAAAGGTAGATACAGAAGCAAGTTGCATCACCAACCAGGATTCACAGCCTCCGATTAATATATGCTGAGGGCTAGACCACCCGATGGGCCGCAGTAGTGAGCAGCCCAGTTATACGGATATGACGTGGCGCTTTGACACCCATAAAATAATAAACCTACCCAACGACACGATTTCCTTCCTCGCATCATCTTTACTTCTCTTTGCTAGGAACTCCCAGCTCCGCGTTGCTTCCTCTTTACCTACGGACTTGCCAGCTTCTTATACACGATTTTCTCGAGAATTGATGATCCAGGTTCGATAGTGGGCATTCTTGCGACTGCTGGATCACTAGCATCGGCGCTTTGGAAAAAGGCAGAGATATTGAGGCCCTACAAAGATGAAGTTAGAACTGTCAGCATGGAGCTTTCGCAATTTGCGTTAGTAAGTCGCTATTCCTCAGACATCGACGCAACAAATATGAACTATATTGGCACAGGCTCTTGACTTCGTTCTTAACTCTATAGAGTCAATTCCAGAGCATACCCGGTCTGTTGTTGTCTCGAAGATCACGTCTCAGTTGTTTCAGTTTAATGAAGAATGGCAAATGTTGATCTCGAGAGGAGATAAATTGAAAAAGCGACTCGATAAGCTGGAAGGTCGCTCGTCTCTTGAGAAATATCTGCGCCTTATGGTTAAGAGTGGTGATATTCAAAATTTGAAACAAAGAATATCCTGCGATATAGGACAGTTGACTCAACTAGTTGCGATCTCTACTTAAAAATACTGGTGCTTCTAAGAAGACAGACAGCGACGATATAGTAGTGATCGAGCCTGCAAGCTCTCTTCATTATCTCTAGCTTTACTGCCCACGGTCTCTATCTCCGTTACCGGTCCAGCCCCCACAGACAAGGGCATTCCCGTTTCTGACTTAACCTCGTCCACTGCTCCTATGTATCCTCTAGGGGCAAGGACTCGTAGCTCCCAGGACTGAATATCGATCCTGGAGACGAGGGATGCGTCCCTGGTGCTGATCGCTGCACAAGGTAACCTTCTGGAACTTTCGAGTGAAATTGGCCAGTGGACCATGCCATCTAGAAGTGGAGAGAGGAATGATGGAGGATCAATCATAGATTCCAGTCTGCTCCCAGAACACCTAGACTGGGCCAGAACACGGAATCCATCTGCTCAAGGAACGACACAGTCCTGTAATCACTAGCAGCAAGAAAGGCAATAGTCGTGGGCCAAAATTGGCCATGCGAAATCCACTTCAGGCGTCTACACCAAGGCAAGCAAATATCAAGCATCGTCGCAACCTCGTTTTGGAAAGGCTGAATGAGGAACTGATTCACTCATTAGGTGGGCTAGCCTCATTCTGGGATATCCAAGGCCCTGGGAGCCAGGGCAAAGTTCCCAGGGATAATAATACTCAGAGGACTCGTCGCTCGCAGGACTGCATAACTTGGATTCTGGATGAGAAATGCGTTCCCGGACCAGACGTTGTGATGCGATTCTCACTGATCAGAGTTGCCAAGACTTGTCGTCTATGCCTTGTTATTCAGGCAACAAGCCCCTTGTCGAACACAGATGGGTCAAGATACCGCTAGACTAAAAATGCTCCATGGGCAACGTTCTTAGTCATACGGGCTGTTTCTTGTTCCGACACCCCTCCAGTCACGCCAGTCTGGTAGCTCTACTACCTAATTCGGCCTAGCGGCACTCTGAACGACATCAAGACAGGCGCTAACCGTTTCGGCAGCCTGAAGAAGCTCTTACATCCATTTTCTAAAGAAAGCACGGACAACTAGGGAGTAGGGATAGACTGCAGAGTCGAGGTGTACTGAAGATTCAAACCAACTCACACATCATATGATATAGGAGCGCAATCTGTGATCTTCACTCTAACAGTGATATCCATATATGCTCGTCAAAGTGCGTCGAAGGTTTCCACAAATTCCTTACCACCGAGGAAGTCAATCAAATATGCGATCACTTTCACGATGGTCCATAGCAACATAGACGTCAGGTCATGTGGAGTGGAGTACCCCGTCAACTCGTACAGGATTAGGTAGATAGAAACGAAATGCAGACATTAACTACGGCTATAGGGCCTTTGATGGTCCATAAGCACCCGCAATGTGTATAGTCCTAGAAATCAGGCAAGAGATAGACTAAGTATATGAAAGGCGTATCTGCTATGTACGCCTATCATATTGCCCAAGATGAGGGCATAGTCACTGTCCTATCACCACCAGCTCCTAAGAGATTGAATCTATACGGGGGATCAAACTACCAAACTATTGAGGAGCTAGTTCTTAAAGGGAAACTAGGCCCTAGAGTTACAAGGATTGAAATAGTACATCCAACTATAGCGGCCGCGGAGAACTTTCACTACCACGTATAGCCGGAGGATGAAATTGCTTCCTAGTATGCTACTTTCGGGTACGCTAGAGACTCACTAGCGACCTGTGGTAGCAAGTCGAGCATTACTATAAAACAGGCGATCTTGGGCATTAAGCCCCTACAAAGGGATGATATTTCTACTTAGCGGGCATAAACACCCGACTATTTAATAAGCTTTCCACCAAGTGGAACGGTCCTCTCTTTTCACTAACATAGTACGACAAGTTTAGGTATCAATAATCATTTATTTGCTAGCTACCGAAGCCTGGGACGAAGTAGGTCGCTCAAAAGTCATTCAACAGAGAAAAACACGGTATAGTAAAATTCGAAATCAGTTTACCCCTCGGACACTCACGCTTTGTTTCTCGGCCCGTACCACGAAATCATACTAATCAATATTCGGCTTAAGGCGTAAATAATCATTTTCTAAGAATAGGCTTAATTTTAATTACAGAACAGCCGCATTACGTATAATACTATACATTACACGAAACTTTTCTCCACAAGCGATATATGCCCCTTACTACCTGTCGGTCTCCTAGGTCTTAAAGCTATCATTTTACCACCATCTCGAAAATTCCTAGAGGGGAGATACATAATTCGGCTCTTAAGTCTACCCTATTCAAAGATATATCTCGTTCGTGACACGATCTTAGGCCGGGCATTCACAATGCCCTTAACAAGACTCAACTTCATCACTAGAAACCAAAATAAGCTTGCGGAAGTGCGGGCTATCCTTGATCACGTGATCGAGATAGACAACCAGGTAGTCGATATCCCTAAGATCTAGGGAACAGTCGAGGAAATCGCTAAGGAAAAAGCTAGGCGCGTAGCTAAGGTAGTAATTAATCCCTATTCTGCCCTATTTCCCTTGTTAACGTGTTGTGTGATTATTAGCTTATAGCGGAATTGATCAATAGACCTGTCCTGATCGAGGATAGTACGCTCGAATTCAGTACCCTAAAGGGTCTTCCTGGACCCTATATATATATCTCCTAGTGTAAATACTTCCCTGCGATTAAAATATATCATAACGAGTATCAAGCAAGTATTTCCTTAATGCTTTATACCTCGAAGGCTTAAACACGATTCTCGATAGTTCGAGGACAGGACCGCCGAAGCTATATACACGTTTGCGTTCTACCGGGGACCCGGGGCTAAGCCTATCTTGTTTCAAGGAAGAACAAAGGTTAATATTATACAGCCTTATTTTTTAACACAGATCTGACTAGCTTTATACAGGGCGCTATTGTACGGCCACGAGACCTAATAAACTTCAGTATATCCATAATTATCCTTTGCGTGAGGCAGCTTGATTAATAACTTATAATTCTGCCTAGGCTAGGACCCTATCTTCGAGTATAATAGAAAAGCCACATTTGCTAAGATAAAGCAGGAGGAGAAGGGTAAGGTCCTACACGCTACCTAGTTCCTGTCTTTATATGTAAAATCAAAGATAGTCGTTTACTAATAGACCTTAAGCAGAACCTGGTCTCCTGTAGGTATAAAGCGCTAGCAAAATTGCAGAGATAGCTAGCCGAAGGCTAACTATAACTGATTATAGAGGTATAATAAAAAGCAAAAATGAGAACCACGCTGGCCTACCTTCTTTCTCTATAGTAGAACAAGCTTTCTTATATAGCATATAGATATAAACGAAGGCTGCGGGGATAAAAGAAGAAGAGGAAGGTTTACGGAAAACAAGCTAGATCGTTAGACCTCCTCCCGTTAACCCTTTCAGAGCCCTGCCTAGATAGTTCTCTAGAGGCTTATAGTAATTAATAATAAGTCATTTAACATAGAAACCTAATACGTGATGAACGAAAATACGGCTAAACAAGGGTTCTTTATAGAGTAGCCCGATACGGATTAGCGTGGTTTCGGTTACAGGCCGAGAAATAAAGTGTGAGTGTCTAGGAGGTAATCTATTTTCGAATTTTACTATATTACTAGCTCCCTGCTATAACAGATTCCTTAACTGAATCTGACGTTCTATATAGTATTGTTTTGACAAATATTACCTGCATTTAGAAATAAGTTTAGTGATTAGAATTTTAGTATGTTAGGAATCAACTTACTACTTAAATCATCCGACGAATACAATTGAAGTATAGACAAATTCTCTAGCAGCTAAGGCTAGTTAGTGATTAGTAATAAAGTTGATTATACGTCTTGACTTACTTATAATAGCAACAAATAAATCATTCGTGATACCTAGTTTAAGAAACTATAGCACTTCTGTAGCTTTAAATTGCGCGACCTCAAGTGTGATTATATACCAAGAAGTTCTCCTCCGTCAAGTGTTGACTTTATATATAGGCGCGGAATAATATTATTCCTAACGAAATAGTTCTTATCTGTTTATGCGACTTGATGCACTATAAGTGTAGTAGCCGCAAGGGCTAACGATTAAGAGTAATATTCTAACTAGAATATTGTAGACTACTACCCTAAACCGTGGTTTAACTAGCTTAGTGTTATTACCTAAACTTTATAGCTAATCGGTGTTATTACGCGCCGCTTCGGCCGACTCCATATTTTTGAATCGAATAAGGTAACCGGTTTTAGTAGTACCGATACTAGCTACCTAGGCGTTTTAGGTCGTAGCTTCGCTCTGTAGTGCTACGCGGATGTAGGTGTTAGCGGTATTAGTAGGGAAGTATCGTCTAAATACGTTTTCGGTATTGTTTTCGTTGTCTCTTAGATCGACAAAAGTTCTCTAGGTACTAATTCGGATGTAGTTTTGCTCTTTCTCGGGTTGCTACTAGTTTAGCAGGGGAATAGCAGTCCTACCGCTACTAGCTACGACTGCTACCTATGTTTTAGTCGTAGTTACTACTGGGGCACTTTCGACCTGCGCTTATAGTGCTCGTACTTCATTATAGAGCTTCTTGTTCTGTTCCTAGAGTACGTTCTGGTTGTGTTTGATCTCCTGGAGTTCGTTTTGGGCGGCTGTGATGGCCGTAGTTTAGTGTTAGATGACGTCCTTAAGCGTACCGATCAGTTTCTACACTTCATTAGTGGTGATTCGACCGGCGGGGTCCGATAGGGTAAACGTATCATTCCGGGTTCTTCTCCGGCTTCTAACGCTGGTATTAGCCTCGAGCTCGTCGTCCGTGAAGCTGGCGGTGGTTTCTTGTGTGTTTGTGGGATAGGTTTCGGGCCCTCCCGCGGGTGGGTCTACCATCGGTCAGGGGTTAGCTCCCGTTCGGCACACAACGCTGTAGCTTATGTCGTCCCAAGAACAAGCTCAACGTCTAGTCAGGTATCCACAGATCAAATAGTACCTCTCCTAAAATCTAAATAGTGTCCTAAATAGTACCCACGTCTCGAATTCCCCACTTATAGTGGTTTTCGGTTAGCGTATAGAGAAATACAAAACCAGCTTCACTATCTTGCACTCTTTAATTAACTCTAAGACCTACCCCTAAGACGCTAGCCTCGAAATTAAGTACAGTCTAGAGACGTGCTTCGCTGAATATAGTCGGTTCGGGCCGACATTCGAGCCGACATTTGAGCTGACAGCTATTAATATATTCTACAACTTCCCTCAGACCACTATTACCTTCAAAATTGATCCTTCTACACTATAACTATATTACTGTACAATCTAGCTATTTCATAATAATAGAATTTATATACGTCTTTCAATTTTTGAAGGAACACCCATCTTCTAGGGTGTACATTGAGATCATCCATTTTTCATCGCCAAGTAGTGAATGGATTATTACCTGACGACGGTTCTGAACTAATGGGATACCCCGCCGTATACCCCGCTAGCATTTCATCTCTAACTTCCTAACCTCATCGTGGTGTTACAGCTGCTATAGCGACAGATGTATCTTTCAATAACCCTAATCACGGATTGCAAATTGGAGTTAATCCTGGCACGGTAAATACTCAGTTCAATATCTATGCAGGTAAATTTTGAACTTGTGAAGGTCGGTGAGACTTGATTGACCAGATGTAGACCCTTTGGATAAGCTGCCTATCGCAGATAGGGCCCATTTTGACTATTATACGAATCAACATAAAGACGAATGTCTCCAAGGCACTAGGATCGAGCTCCTTCAGCAGATAATTGAATAGGCTATATCACCGTCCCAAAAGAGCATTTTCTGGTTAAAGGGAATGGCCGGGACAGGAAAATCCACAATATCTCGGACTGTGGCAAGATCGCTCAAGGACAAAAACCATCTAGGTGCCAACTTCTTCTTTAGGGTGAAGGGGACCGAGGAAATACGAAGAACTTTTCACGATATTAACAAGGCAACTGACGCTCAGAATCTCTGGGCTGAGGTCCGGGGTACAAAAGGCACTCGATCATGACCCCGAAATTGCGACGAAATCGCTCAAAGAGCAGTTCGAACAGCTACTCCTCCAGCCGCTGCTCAATCTTAACTAACCCGACCGATAGCATCAGACCGCTATTATTGTGATCGATGCTCTAGACGAATGTGAGTATAATCAACATATCCGAACCATCATTAGATTACTGCCTGTTCTATAGAAGGTAAAAGCGATTCGCGTTCGTATCTTCTTGACTAGTAGGCCTCTCCTAATCAACCTTGGCTTTTCAGAGATCGGGGATTATGAATATCAGGACCTAGCTCTTCATGAGATACCAGAAGAAGTGACAGTGCATGACATACATTTATTCCTACAGGACCGATTCGCGAAGATCAAACACAACAGAAAGATTTCTGAAGACTAGCCCGGTGATAACGTTATCCAAGAATTGGTCACGATGTCCGTTCTACTATTTATTTCGGCTGCTGCTGTGTGCCGTTATATTGAAAACTCGAAATAGGAACCCAAAGTGCGCCTGGCAGATCTTCTAACGGATCAAGCTAAATACGTATCAAAAATGGATAAGACATACCTGCTAATCCTGAAGCGGTTGCTGGACGATTAAGAGTGTGATGAGTCGGAGCAGCTCCAGCTCCTACAAGAGTTCTAGGACATAGTCGGCGTTATCATCCTGCTTGCAGTTCCGCTTTCTATACATACGCTATCGTTATTCCTTGGGATAGGAGCAGACCAGATCAGCAATCGATTGGATTTATTCCGATCGGTTTTAAGCATTCCCAATAACCGAGATCAGCCTGTTAGGATTCTATATCTATCATTTCGGGATTTTTTGGTCCAGCCTAGGAACAATTATTATGTGGACGAGCCAAGAAAGCATAAAGATATTGCTAGGTCCTGTCTTGCAACCATGCGATCTCACCTACGAAGAGATATCTGCAATCTAGCAAGCCCTGGAACTCATAGGGCAGACATCGACCCTCGACATATCTGCCAGTACCTCCTACCAGAATTACAATACTCTTGTCGCTACTAGATATACCATTTCGAAAAAAGTCAGGCTTTATCTTCCGAGATGGAAGATATACTACTGTTCCTCCAGAGACATTTTCTGCACTGGGTAGAGGCGATGAGTCTGCTGGGTCTTATATCGGAGGTGGTGGGTATACTTGGTCTCCTCCGTACACTTCTACCGGTAAGTAATCCAGTAGACAGACATTTGTGGTACTAATAGAAATAGGGTGACAAAAACTCTTTAATATCGAATATTAGTATAAACAAGTAAACACAAATAACCGTTTACTTCGACCCTTAGTTGAGCAGCTTGTTTATTTCGTTAAATCCACTCTCCGCTCTGCCTGCCACTATATAATAGCCTATCTAGTAATATAGTGCGCTTAACTAGTTGCTGTCTCCCCCCAAGCTAATATGTTCAAATTGTTGTCAAACATCGTTGTTAAGCAAGGTAGGGGTTTGACTGACCCTTGATTATTAAATTGTGCAATTGGATTTTTGGCCCAGCCTTATTATCCATCTCGCTATCGGAGCTTGAATCTAACTAGTGACGATTTTGTAGGAGTCCAGGCGAATTGAGCTTTATACAATATGCCTGGCTTTCCTACTCTTTCAATGAACATCGTCTCCGCGGGATGATTCTTCGCATGTACTATACGATCGGAATCTGTGGAAAGCTATTCATACATCTATGGAACCCCTTCATTCCAAATGCCCGACTTTCCGGGAGAAAGCACCCCATTGGGGTCCAACACATCCTTCAAGCGTCGCGTAAACTTATTGAACGCACCGTCGTTGAAGTCCACCTTGGCCGCAATCTGGTCCATGTAGCGCACATGCGTGCGGTACTCCATATATCCCTGCTCCGCACCATCATGCAGCAAGTTCCTGCACAACTCGAGGACGCGTGCCTCCTCTCTGAGCGTGTAGATGACCAGCTCGATGCCGACCACGTAGCGCGGGTAGACATGGAAGTCGGCGAAGAAATCGAACTTTGCGGCAATGGTGCGTTGCTTAGCTGTCAGGTACCACTGGTACAACTCACGTCCGGATGGAGGGACGATGGGCGAGAAGTCGACGTGTGCACCGCCCTTCTCGGATCGGCTGTCGACGATGCCCAGCGGGGCGAGCGTTTGGATGCCACTGTACGGAATCTCTTCTTCTTTGATCTCTGCTGCGGTATGGCGCGGCCTGGGGATCCGGGGAACTCGCGCCATTCGATCTTCACACCTGGGATTGTGGAGAACGCGCGTTGCACGGTTTGAATTAACGCTGGGAGCATTTCGACTGAGCCATATAGCGAGAAGTAGGCTTTCCAGAATCCCCAGTTATGTTCCGCACGGATTTCCTCGAGTACGTCATAAGGTACGTATGAGTTGGGCTCCATGTACTGGGCCAGTTTGGCGTGAACCTCGGGGACTTTAGATGTAAGCGCGATACGGAAGATGTTGGCGATGGAAGGTGAGTTGAGGATGATGGAGCGGCGCATCAGGTCTGACAAAGTCCCGGTGAGAGGGATGAGGTCTGCTTCCTTGGGAACGCTGACTTCAAGAGTAGCGTACGCCTCGGGGGCGGGAGTGATATGCATGCCAATCTTGGTGACGATGCCTGTTTTTGTTAGTGATTGAGTTGTTGAGGAGATGGGAGAACGATAAACCTTACCGAAGTTGGATTGGTAGAACAGACCGTCAAGGGTTGGGCCAAAGCCTCTGTTGGATAGTAAGTCAATATATCATTGGAAGGAGAGCATAGGCGAGCCAGTGAACTGTGAACATACCCCTTGTATAGCGAAAATGTTTTATTATCCTTCATCGCTCCCATACCGGTCCGAAGCAATTCACCATTTGGCAGCACAACTTCCATGCCGCACTGTGACTGCGAATGCTCTCCATTGGGCGTATATCCAAAGCCTCGGTCCATGGTATTTCCCAAAACAGAACCCCAGCCAATGGCTGGCACCGATGGCCAGAGGTTCTGGCCCCGTCGTTGGATTTCCTCGTAAAGGTCGAAGAAAGATACACCCGGCTCGACTATCGCGTATCCGTACTCTTCGTTCACCTCGACGATCTTGTTCATTCGGTGCAGATCTAGGATAACGCATCCTTTGACGACAGAGCTGGATCTACCATATCTATGACCGTTAGTGATATGCAGATGGCATAAGGACGAGAGACATCATGGACGCCATACCCCAGGTTCTTTCCCCGTGACACTGTCCACAAACACACCTTGTGCTTATTTGCAAGCTTCACGACCTCCTGGACCTCTTCTACAGCACGGGGTCGAACGGCACCGCTTGGTGCGTGGGTTCCTGAGGTTGAAAATGGATCGCCGTAAGATTTCCGGCCTTGAGTACCCTCGAGTGCGCCATCGACTAGGGGTGCGGGAAATGTCTTCTCCGAGCACACGCGCGACGTCCTCAAAGAAATTGCCATTTGCCTGGGGGTTGACGGTTGGAGACCTATGGGGTGCCATTGTGTCGCTGTTGCAAGTTGAGGATTACGACATGTCTGCAGGGATCTACGGAAATACTTTTTCTGGGGTCATGATCAACAGCAGCTCCTACTATTTGCAGGGATAGGTTACCAGCAGCCGGGGATACCGGGGGAAGCTCACCCGCGGTCAATCCCCCAACAATTCGGCCGCTGATACGGACCCACGTTCGCCCCACTGCGATTTGGGGTTAGCGCTGGCTCCGGGGATACCGGGGGAGGAATGAGTGACGGGGAAACTAGCCGTGCCAAGACCACCAGCCCCGCACCTCTTGGCACGGCTAATCAAAAAGCGGGGAATATGAATATGTAATCATAACTTAGACCGCGGTAACTAATGGTAGCTAGACCCAAACTCTAAATTTTGATCACCCCGCTTTCGGATGAGTGACACGGTTAATACAATTCTATTCATCGTTGGGGAACATTCCTGTTGCTCTGGCGAATATGGCAGTTTTAAACTAGTTATATCAGCTACAAATATATTGCATACCTATGTAATTTTTGGCGACTCCATGAATAAGTTCGTAAGAATTGATCAGTCAGCGGGTCAGCGAGGCATAGAAATGCAATTCCTGATTATCATGAAAGAGAACCGTAATAAATTGATCCCATCAAGAGATCAGTTGGATTTGGTATGAATTAAGGCAATGCATGTCTCATGTTTGTCTTCAAATAATATAATACATGCATGCCGCTTCGCACGTTGTCGTCTTCCTTCGGAATGAAAAGAAAAGGATGCCATAAAGAGATAAAACAAAGAGTCATAAAAGAACAGCCCACTTCAAGCAAAATAAAAAGAAAAGAAATGACAACAACAACAACGACAGATAGACCTCGAAACCAGAAAGAAGGATGCTCTCAGGCGTTAGCTAATTACCAAGTAGACTAACGCCAAAGGGTATGGAATATTAGAGGCTATTCTTTCTTTCAAGGGACCAAATGTCCAACCTCATTAGACATTATTTTCATTGATGCCCTAGGATTCCGGCCACCACTCAGGAGTTGACACTGTTTCTTCACATAATCATATATAAATCACTAGTTTGCCACCTGACTGCCGTCTCATCAGAAGTTAGAAGTTGAATAGAATCCTGTCATCTCATGGAATATTGTGACATCCTGTTCCTCTGCGCCCCAATGACAATGTTAGGCTATTTGCAATACAACAGCAATTGTCTTTCGCAGCCGGGTATTTAGGGAACTTCCATAGTTCGCTGGCCCAAGATAATTTGAACTCGAAATTGATTGCGAATGCACATTTTCCTTGCCATTTGACATTGTTGTTACCTTAAGGAAGTGGATGGTAAGGTTTGAATCGTATGGGAGTAAAAGTTGCTAAAATTGACATCCTATGAAATTGAGTAGAAAAATATATGCATCATCAATCTGGTTTCAAAGCAAGCAATCCACGGATGGTGTTCGGTCTTATGAACATGACCTGTGTCAAATCGTGTAAACATAGATCACGTTCCTCGCCATTGTTCCATCTGCCCTAAGCTCTGCCCTAAGCTTCAACCTACAGATCCTCGGCCTCAACCCAATTGCCATGCAGTCCCTGCCTCAACCGAAGCGGCAGCAGAATGACAGCCTTTGCCTTGGTGAACTCCCTGGTATCCAGCAAGTGCAACTCGCTGCACATAGAAATATAGTTATTCACCAGAGCCATGACATACCCATCGCCCTCAACGGTAGACCCGCGTCGCGGAATGAAAATTGGTTCTTGCACCATATGTGTCTTTCCAGGGAGATAGATCTCTGTCACTCTAGTTTCAATATTCAAGTGCGCTAGAGCGTTATACAGTGGGTGTCCACCACCCAGCTGAGCATGATGGTCGGGAAATCAGTTCCGAGGGCAGGGTTCATTAGGTCAAAGAAGCAGTGCTTGTACGGTTGGGTGGCGAAGCGGTCGTCAATGCGGTTGAACTCCGAGTTTTCGCTTTGGAGAACCGTTGAGTTCACTAAGTCGAGCTCCTCAGATTTGGGGTCGATGGTGAACCGGGTTAGCTGGGAGTGGATGGAACTCGGCTCAGGAGATTTTCCTTGCGCATCCGGCCACCAGAAGAAGACGTTCTTCTCGCTCAGTCCGAGGTCGAGTACGATGTTGTCGGATTCGTCTTCGTAGGCGTTGGCTACATGGCCCGGGAAAGAGTTTTGGTAGCGGAACCACTGGGAAAGGTGACAAATGATTAGATGATAGGAGAAAGATAGGGTGTGGGGAACATACCTTGAGATCGGATGGCTTTGCTCCTCGTCGTGGAAGGACTCCAATGTAGAATGGAGTTTCGGGGCTCCACTGCCAGTGCTCGCCGCCCTGCTTCATTCTCTCAATGTCGCAGACCTGAGGGATGATGGGGAAAAGGACCTAAAATAACAAGAGGGAACACTATCAGAAGAGGGTTTGCTAAAATTCAAGAATCACAACTCACCCAGTTCTCCGTGGCAGCAAAATCGTGAATCATAGCCACAACAGGCGCAGTCAACCACACGGTTTCCAAGAACTTTCCGTCGGCTGCAATACGGCAATAACAGATATCAGGTGTTCCATCGCCCTTGGCTTCGTATCCGAAGCAGACCATCTCCCCCATGCGCGGGTCAAATTTCGGGCGAGCGGTGAATGTTAAACTGGGCAACTGTCCATCGAAGTCGTACAAGTCGCTTGTCTCGAGGGTGTGAGGATCCAACGCATATGGTGGAGGGTCTTCCTTCAGAGCCAACAACTTGCCGTTAAAGTGAACGACGTTTGTGTTGGCTGTGGTGCGGATCTTGAATTCCACGGCATCGGTGAATTTGTTACGGTATTTACCTACAGAAAGAAACGAGTTAGTTAGTTCTATGTGAGCTTGTGAACGGTGAGGGTCGGTACCAAGCAATGCTCTTTGGGCCTCTCGTTCCCGGACGAATTTCTCTGTTCGGACAAAACGCTGCTTAAAGGAGACCGAGCCGTCTTTGATTTTGAAGGCGCTGATACTGCCATCGGCGTTGAACCACTGTTGTCATGTCAGCTATCCTGCTATTTTGAGATTGAAGATTCGCATCAATTCGCTTACTGGATCATTCTCGATGAAGGGCGAGAATTAGGGATCGGGCATCACCCGGTAGAATATCCCATCAACGTCTTCCGGGATCTCGCCATACACTTCCAGATTCAGAACTTCTCCTTCAACTCGGCATGGCTTCATGAACCCGCAAAATTGCGGGCAGTTTGGGAAATCTTTCCGGGGCTTTTAAGAGAGAACGGACATTTTGATTGTTATCTCAAAAGGCAAGGAAAGAAGATCGTGTGTCGCAAAAGAAATCCTCTAGTTTAGTTTTGTAGATAACGGCGTGTAATGCAAGAAATAACCATTTATTTAATCATCACAGGACTCGAATATGGTGAGGGGAGTACAACCTCGTGTGATCTACACTTTGTTTCCTCCCGACGGAATAGCGGGGATGCAGCTTGTATACCCCCAGTATCCCCGGGGAAGGGGGCTTCGGGCTTTTCGGAGCATCCACTGGGTCATTTTCCGCTTACACATCATACAGTGGAACCCTGGAAACATCCCAAGGTTGGAAATATAGGTGATCATTTCACTAATGTATAATTCATTTCGATCGTGCCGGGTAGCTTAACCCCGGTATTCCGGGGCTTAGTGCTAGTGTATATTGAGAGAACACATGCAGGGTTATATGAGGAGCCAGCCACCTGCCAAAGTCTGGGGTAGCAGAATACAAAGTTAACAATTATTTCTATTTGGTTATCTACCATGGTCTATCTTACCTATGGGGCTATTGTGGTGGTTTTATGGTTTGTCGGAACTTGTGTGTATAATGTATTCTTCCATCCTCTGAAGGACATCCCAGGCCCGTTTATGGCTAAAATATCTCGATGGTGGATTTTTGGGCTCGAAATGAGAGGGAATCCTCACGTAGAGATACTTGATTTGCACCGAAAGTATGGTATGTTTACCATCACTGACTAATCTACTACTAACTAGTTAACTAGTTAGTTATCAAGTATTTATTGACACATAATAGGACCGATGTTGAGGATCTCACCCAACGAAGTCTCAACAAACGACCCGGAAGCTTCTAGCATCATTTACGGACAAACATCGAAGTTCGAAAAGTCCAAGTACTTCTATCGTGCTTTTGAAGACCAGGCTCCCAATCTCTTCACAATTCGCGACCGTCAGCAACACGCCAAGGACAAAAGTCTTATCTCCCATGCATTCTCCAGGGCAAATATCATTCAGCACGAGGAATCCATATATGACAAAGGCCATTATTTGATGGATCGTTTTACCCAAAGCGCAAAGGACGGACAGATAATTCCACTCTTCGCAGCATTCCGTTGCATGACGCTGGATACTATCTCCGAGTTTGCTTTTGGAAAGTCTGCTGGTGCGCTACAGCTGGGAGATTACAAGTCTGCTATTTTTGAAGCCATCGATAAGGCGACTAACTCGGTGCCGTTTGTAAGTGTCGTCTCCCTGCCAAGAAAGCGAAAGAAGATGTTAATATAACCAGTTCCAACACTTTCCTATCCTGCGAGAATTACTCCGATGGGCGAGCTACTACAATCTCAGTGCCGTTCCAAACGGATTTTTGGAACTGGCACAGATATCTGGTTCAGGGTTCCAACAGATGCATACGACTGAGACTTGGACTATGTTCAAGAACATGATGTCAGCCGCTGAGAAAAAGTCCAGGGAGTTGACCAAAGAGCACTTAATCTCCGAAGCTATTGTCATGTTCGTTGCCGGAACAGACACAACCGCAGCTGCGCTGGCAGTCACTCTTCACCATCTCCTTCAACAACCAGATATCTATCGGAGACTTCAAGACGAAGTGCGGACTGTCATGCCCACACTGGACTCTCGACCAACCGTCCCCGAACTGGATGCCTTGCCATTCCTCAATGCGTGTGTCAAAGAAGGCCTCCGGATCTCTTGTCCCAGTCGAACGCGACTCCCCCGGACTGTCCCTGCTAATGGATGGAGCTTTGGAGGATATTACCTACCAGCTGGAGTAAGTTTAATCTCCCCATTTCTTTTCCTCAGACTGACCCTTTGCAGACAGAAGTGAGTGCTACACCTTTATATGCCCTCTATGATGAGGTCATGTTCCCTGCTCCTACCACCTATACCCCAACGCGATGGTTGGTCGACGAGGATCAAAAGCGAGAGATGTCGGCGTACTTCCATCCTTTCTCGAGAGGAACGCGACAATGTGTTGGACAAACGTAAGACCTACTACTGTTTGACGAAATACTGGTGCTGATAATGTATAGTCTATCCCTCATCGAGCAGAAAATTGTCCTATCGATGTTTGTTCGCCGGTTTAACCCCCAAGAAGTTATGAGGAAGAACCTCAACATACAGGAGAGGATTACTATAGTACTAGATGATGAGGTTGATGTGCGACTTGGCTTGGTGACGGACTAACTCTAAAATGGATGGACACAATATAAATTAAATTAAACTGTTCATAAAACTTAGCATAAGACTGGCATAAACAATCAAGAGACGGCCTGAAGAACGAGGAGAAAGAAAATCCGAAAAGGGGAAACTTAATCCCCACTTCGAATCGAAGTTTCCACCGGGATTCCCGGGAGTTTCACATCCCAAGTATTGCTTCAATGATAGGCCCGGATACAATAGAGTAGGGTTGTGCTATATTGCATATAGAGCCATGATGATGGTTTTGCAATTCGTCAAAGGTCTTGTGTACTCTCACTCACTCTCAGACAGTCACGCGGAGATTTCTTTTTGTTTTTCAAGATCTACTGGTGTACTTTTCTGATCTACAATCCACGGCGTAGATCTTTCATCTTACCAATGACCGTTCTGCCTAGTCCTGTTGGGGTAGGACGGGTTCATTTCGCTTTCCGGTTGTTCTGCGAGATATGTAACTAAAAGCTTGATGAAGATTCTACATAGCTGATGGTGGATTGTCGGTGTTGCAAGTGGAGAGTTTGGAGGTTGTTCTTGCTCGTCGGACTTCCATTTCTGCTCACCGAATAAAACCTTGGAAGCTACCCAAAATAAGCTAGGATACAAGACCCGTGCTGTTCATAGCATGCAGGAACAGGCTGATTGTCATTATTAAATCCCCCTTCCGTACATCCAGGAAGTCTCTCAATGTTAATCATGCCGATCTGTACACGCTAGTAATTTAACATTTTTTAACAATGCGGTACAATAAATTACTTTGTTGGGAAGGCCTAACGATGCTCATATTTGGCTTATTAGGTTAAAAAACTGCGATAGATTTATATGCGACGAATATATAAAGCCTATTCTCGAGCGAGCCTCAAAAAATATATTGAATTGTACACCATCCAGGTTTCCACTGTAACTGTGAAAATTAGCTCAGGCTTGGCGGGACCTGGGGGCAAATCCAGTTGGCCAAGGTGCGTGAAGTGAAATGGGTATTTTATAATTTGGGCAGTACTCAGGAATACCCCCGCAGCACGTCGTGTCACACACGCATCAAGGTCATTTGTAGGCGCGCGCTGTGAAGAACAAGCAACGGGAGCAAAGAAAAAAGGGCAGTTCCCCCTACGGACAACGAGAGAGAGGTTCGGGTCAAAACTCGAATTTTACCGGCAGAACAGGGCGGTATGCCTTATATGGTAATTATGACACCTTAGGCTAATAACATTCTGCCAGGATGCAGAAATTTGATCCTGGACTTCCAAATCGTTCTGCTTCTTCGCCCTATACCCTCAATATTGAGGGTAATAATTTGAAATTACTAAGATGGGTAGTTTATATGCAAATGAATAAGTTATCAGCCTTATATTTGTAGTAATCTTATATTGTCTGCTAAGAATACATGAAGGTTGACGGGCCTCCTCAGGAGACGAGGACTTGGTCATATGGAGATGATTGAGATGCACCCTAGGTTTGTAGTCTAACCTAGTTAGGCCTACTCTACCAGATTTTGATCATGTGATGCTCAAAACCCATATGGGTTTAGTGCTAGGGAAAGATTGATTGATAAAATGAGGGTCTAAGCGGTCAGACCGGCGGCACCTAAAGCGGTGAGATATATCATTGGTTCTCAGGTTTTGACCCGAACCTCCCTACCAACTTCCGTAGTTCCCCCGCTTCCAGGATACGGAATCCCCCAGTTTTTGCAACCGAACTGCTCACCCAGTGATTGGTCAGAAGCGGACCCTGGGTCTTTCACTAGTGCAACTCCCGAGGTCGCATATTTTTCTGAGGTTTCCCTCGGACGAGAGTTCTTCTCACAATTATCCCATGGCAGACCAGCGTCCTCAGTCTTCGACCCCGTTGGTGGGTGGTTCCGATCACATTCGACCGACAAAAACACAGGGTCGGAAACGCAAGAGAGTATCTGTGGCATGTCGGTCCTGTCGGGTCCGCAAGTCTCGCGTATGTTATACAATCGGCATTCATATATTTTGTAGTTGATGGCTGAATTCTTCAATATCGCAGTGCGATGGGGCACGACCGTGTTCGACATGTGAAGATATGGACACGGAGTGCCGATATGAGCAGCCGCACAGCCAGCCTGTAGCAATAACTAACCCCGGCAGCAGTGAGCGGTGAGTCAATCTGTTCAGGATGTCTACACGATCTAAACTCATCCGTATAGGCAAGAGGAGAGTCTGCTCGAGCAGCGATTACAGGCAATAGAAAAAAGGTTGCGGCTATCTGGGCCAGACAAGCAATTCGATAGCCCTGAAATGCATACAGCCACCTCTCCCACAATGCAAGGGAACCATGGATCCCGACGTAGTCCGGAAATGAAAGGGCCGTTGGATCAAGACGATGGAGTGGATGGTATGGGCGCCGTGGCACTCAAAGATGGGGCTGACGAAGAAGAATATTTTGGTACAGTTCAATTTATCACTGCAAATTATTTCATGGGACCCTGTCTAACGATTCGAAAGGCGCTTCATCTAATGTGGCCTTCTTGCGTTTCATTCATGCCGTTGGTTATCCGGCCAATCCGGCCGACAATTCACCTCTCTCAAGCATGGATGTTTCCACCGAAGTTGGCCAATCAAACGATGACCGCTTCGATGCATTCCTGAGAAGACCATCGGGTATCAGCAGTCTAAATGAGTCTCAGGGAAGAGTTCGCGTGGATCCCTTCGCGCTTCCCCCCTCAAGTGGAAGCAGACGCTTTGTTGCATTTGTTTTTTACCACCGTCAATCTGATGATTCCCTGCATCTATGAAGGCTCGTTCCGAGACACGTACAGGACACTACAGATTGACGGGACTCGGAGTGTTCGGAGATCCTGGCTGGGGACTCTGAATGTCGTGTTCGCTCTCGCGACAAATGTCATGACGGCGACTTCACCGAATATTGAAAGGGCCACGAGGGCCAGTATGTATTTTGAGCGGGCGATGGAATTGGTGAAATCAGATATCTTAGGGCGTCTTTCATTGGAAATGGGTATGGCACACATTCAATGTCTTGCGTTCAACCCACATTGACATGCTTAGTACAATTATTCCTTTTGATGGAGGCGTATCTTGAAGGAACTACATCCTCATCGCTTGCCTGGACGTTACATGGCCTGGCTGTGAAAGGGGCATACCAACTTGGTCTTCATGTCGTGGACTCGAAGAGCATGTCACAAACCGATCGGGAAGTGCGCAGGAGATCATGGTATTGGTGTGTTATGAATGATCGGTATGTGTCTGTAATTCCGTATCTGACGAAGTATACTAATGATGATCAGGTTTCTGAGCGTGACTTACGGTCGGCCCCCTTTGATTCCCTTGTCCCATGTGAGATTCGAGGCCAGCCCCTATCTACCATTCAGCAATGTGCCCAGTGGTGTTACCGTATCCAGCCTGGCTTATTTTGATGCTATGATGTAAGCAAATTTTCCTCGAAGATTTCTGCAGCCTTGACTAATTTTGATAGGTCTATTACTCACATCATGGGCGACGCCCTAGAACGTCTCTATGACCAAAATCTTGGGCTTCGCACCCGTCTCCCCATGAGTGAAAGCCTTAACCAGATCTCCAAACTGCGCTGGGAACTAGCCCAGTGGCAGGATAGTCTCCCATCCTGTTTACAAATAATAACCTCCCAGGACACGCTGGATGATGTCCCTTTGACGGTCGGAACCACGAGACTCCGCGTCCTACTCTCTCTCCGCTTCCTCGGTGCGAGAATACTTATTCTACGCCCAGTCCTCAGTCAATTCCTCGATTTGCCGGGTATGACAGCCTCGAACGAACATCAGTCGGAATGGCTGCGTAATTCAGGTGCTGTTTTGCTGGCGGATTTGGTCCGCACGTGTGGCGATATCCTACAAACCAGTAAGAATATTTTGGCTGGTTCCAGGAATGATCAGAATCTGCTTGGGGCTTGGTGGTTTTCTTGTTATTATAGTATGCATACCCTGGTTCTCATGATGTGTTTGATTAGTACTAACTACGTCGCAGCTTTCAACTCCTCCCTCGCGGTCTTGGGAATCCTTCTGATAAAAAGAATCCCCGCATACTCCGGACAATTATCTACCTTTTCCGTGTCTGAATTGCGAGGTCTGCTTGAGACAGCTATGGAGGTCCTACGTGGGTTGAACAAGGGCAGTGAAACCGTCATGCGCTGTCGAGATACGTTGACGAGGCTTATCACTGCAATTGATTTTGATGGTAACAATGCCCATCTATTTCTTGATACCACCTCATATGACTGACAAATCAACGTGCAGCAAATGTAGCCGGATTCGCACCAGCATCATTCTCACTATCCCCATCCAGCGCGTGGGCGTGGCAATTTGTCAACCCGGGCTTGTTCAGCTCGGAGGCATCGTTGAGTCTTGCTCCAGGGACGGTTGATGTTGCGTCTGGCTCTCAGTTGCCAATATTGACGAATCTTGGAGTGCGCCCAGAGCATGACATCTTTCATTTCCCTGGATGATTTGTCACGATTCCACCGTATCCACCTCCAGTCGAGGGATGACTGGCGGAATCGGTCCGTGTTGTACATTAGAGGGCAAAGAGGTATCTATCTGATCGGCCGAACGGTTATCGAGTTGGATCGCTCCATGTTTTGGATCAGAGGGCATGGAGGTATCGAATGGCGGAATCGGCCCATGTTACAGCATAGACGGCTGACAGCACATAGTTTTGACAATTCCCCTCAAATAATGTGGTTTGCATGACATTAGGGGTCGGCACGAAAACAAATCCGTAGGATTGAGGTATTCGCATTCGCATTCGTAATTTGCAAATCTCTACGAATATTCGTATTCGCAGGGCCAACATTTGTAACTTTGCCAAGACATTATTAGTAATCATAACATCTAACGTAATTCACCACCGAGCGAGTCACCTACCCCAAAATCGCGTTTCTTTTCATACACTCGTCCTTTAACAACCTACCATGCCACCGAAACGTACTGAATCCGCGCGAAAGCTAGTCAACCAGGAGGGCAATATCCTATTAGCACTCTATCCTATTCAAAAAGGTCACGTCAAATCTCTACGCGCAGCAGCGAAGCTATACGATATATCCTTCTCTACACAGTCTGTGTTCACCAACCTCTCTTTTCACCAGCCTCTCTTTTCACCACCCTGTTGAATATCGCGGTCACTGAGATAGTCACGGGGACGGGAGCACGTGCATGTATATATGTCTACCTGGCTACTAGCCTCTTGTACCTACAATCAACTCCCATCAACTATGCAAACATTGAAGCGTCACTTATAACTCAGCATTTTCACCACCCTCTCTTTTCACCACCCTCTCTTTTCACCACCCTTAACTTATTAGTCCACTAACCGGTGAGTATCCTATTTTTCATTATCCCGGGGCGCTGGTGCTTCGGCTATTCACGGTGAAATCTTGGTCCGTTGGAAGGTACCCGCTTCAACGGCTCTTTGGGTTGTCTACCCGCCCCACTCATCCTAGCCAGCCAAATTGTCGATTTCACCGTTGAATCTATCTTTCCTCTACTATCCACTGAACTCTAGGCGATGCTTTTCTAATGGAAAAGCAAAATCACAAAGTGTTTAAACCCAAGGGTATGATCATGGTGCGTGGGTGAGCAATTATGTTTACTTTGAAATAAATCTACGACGGCGTGTTTAGCTTCTCAAACCAGGCAAGCTCAGTCACGTCGGCGCATTTTAGCTAATTATGCAAAGTGTAGGAAAACATCTAGAGACTGTATTAGTGCGAGTTATACAGTATTATTCAATAATGCTTCTGCGAGATGTATAACCGTAGGGCTGCTAGGAAGGATCTAGATGAGGCGATACTGCTCCGGCTGCTAAGACGGTGGAGGTTTTCTATTGCGTTGGCCCACTTAGAACGGCGCTAACCCTCAAATGGCTATCGATCGGTCTCTACAACGGGCATTCACTGGCGTTCTGAAGGCGATCTGGGCCTAGCCCGTATTAGGTCTTTCGGGAAAGAAAGCCAGTGTGTTCGGTGTAAATCAGCTAAATGACACAGAGAGAATATCTAAGAGTATGTGAGAAGCTTTTCTTATAAAAATGATATGGGCACCTTAGATGAGTCTGTTACCTGCCTGCCTTACTTAGATGCATGAATACCCGAAAAGTCTAAGAGCCAATAAGAACAGATTATTTCAGCCTCAAGAAGTAATAGGTACTCGCACCCACGCTTTGCGGGTGATAAAGACCTCCAACAACTAGGTAATATTTTGCCAAGATCACTTGGAGTTGAAAATCCGATGTAGCTCTTTGCCAAGGTATGCTGAGAATATATCGTATATCACCTTATTCCCACTTCCTGATCAGGATAGTGGCTTAGTGACTTGCGTTAGATTACCCGGCATTGTACCACTGAACCCCGCTGATTTGATTCACTCCCACTGTTGTCCTCTACGTCCTTATCTCTACTGCTAGGTGGATCCTAAGAACCAGCTTTGCCCAGTAGCCTGAAGTTGATAGCAGCGGAGTTGGAGAATCCTCACTGTGCCCTTTAACAGTAGCTCCTGAAAGACACGTGGACAAATCGTAAACTCTGTGAGTCCCACGTAGTATCACATACTTGATGTAAGCTAATCTGAATTAGGTTAGACTCGAGTAAGGCACTGCCACTAATATTCCTTTTCCGTATAATAATGTTCTCACCTATCGAAAACGTATCTCACGAACGTGCTTCAGACAAGCAAATTAAGCTATGCCTAACCCAAGGGACCTAGGGCTTTGGGCCTCAAAGCCCGGCGGTGTAGACACCTTATATATAGGCAGAATTTGGACCCACCACCCCCAAAGCTCTCTATTTTCCTACCCTGAAAGCCCATAATTTCCCTCGTACGATTTACTTGAAATTTTCAAAAGTTCTATCGGCATATATGGCCTATAGGCCAGATATGCATCTTGAATCCTGCCTGCTTACTAAGCATTCCTATCTTGCTTACCGCTAGGAAAACCCAATCTTGTTTACCCCTAGATTCTGATCTTCAACGATCGTGTCAACATTGCCCGACTAGGCAAAGGAATGTTCAACACTCCAAAATGACCTCGAATGTTCTTGATTTTCTCATGTGATATTTGCTATGTTCCTTATGTTATAAATTGCACTCTGCTTCCTAGTTAGAATGAACAAGTTTGATATCTTTTTTATCCCAGGAAGAATCACCGGACATAGTAGACCATCTGAATCAACCTTCCACTGCTTGATTCTTCTGTCTGATCAGTCGATTGTGATCTATCCTGATTCGTCTCTCTTCCATAATCGTGGCACTAAGATTAGTGCGCACGAACGATTTCTACCAAGGTTTTATACACCATACGCAATTCCAATAGTTATGAGCCCGAGCCTCTGCTAAGGCCTCTTACTTTCCTCTTATCTATCTCTCACTTTCGTCTTAAAAGTGATGGATTCATCCGATCTACGAGCTACCTAGCTCAATTATCCTCTAAAATGCCACGCGCATTAGATCCCGTGGATTACAGCTATCAAAGATCATACACTAGCGAATAGTGTGTGGAAATATATTGATCTAGACCTGCCTACTCCTGCTATACCGATACAGGAACCAACCAAGCCGTATCTATCTAATACAATCAAGAAACCTACGAATACGTTTACATCTGATCTTCCTAATAAGCAAATCAGACTCATTGATCTTACCTCCAACTAATTAGCTATCTATCGAATCTTGCTTAGCAAATATAAGTCAGCCAGATCTGACTATCTACGATATATACGATCCATCGAGATCCTCAAGCAAGGAATTCGATCCTCCCTTACGCTAGAAGGGAGACAGATTATTAATAGGTTAATAGTACGCGAAGCGATTGCTAAGCTACGTGCTATATTTACTCTATCAGACTAATCAAAGAACCGCTAAACCCTACGCGACTAGGATGCGATTAAACGACAAACACCGCTATCCAAATCGTCTCATCTTGCTATATAGGGCCAGAAATAGCTAATCAGCTAATCAGAAGGCGAGAAAGCCGGAATTGCCTACTTCCAAGACCCACTATCTCTAGTATACGATTTCCTAGAGACGATTCAACATAGCGATCAAGGCTTCTATACCTTCTAGTACAACACGATCCTTCAGGGCCTAAGGAGACCTACCCTAACCGAACTAGTCAATCAGTTTATTAACTAATACCGACTAATCGTCTTGCCTAGCAGACGACTAATTGCCTATCTTGATCTGAGAGGCTGCCGTAGCTAAAGACTCAGCTTTCCGATACAGTAGTTTTCGAACGTTTTCGAACTCGGTTTGACCCTATTCTTTCGACTTGATCACCGGAAAATAAATCCTAAATTTGCGAATTCTGATTGGATACATTTTTGGCTTAACCCCCTTCAATTGTTCAATGACCCTGTGTGGACCATTTTAATTCGAATTCAAACAATCTAATGCCATTTCACGTAGCATGACAAGTCAAGTCTGTGTTACGGTAGGCTCGCTTAAAAAACCTCTAATTATAACTCCAGTATTATCGCCTGAGGGCCTCAGGCACCTCACATACAATCCGCAGGCGCACAAAGAAGTCCTCCATGGGATCCGAGAAGAGCTACTGCTATGAGACACAGCAGAGACTAGAAAAGGTGACAAAGGCACTGATATTGTCAAGAAAAGTCATTCATTAGTGACATGGGATTCGCCCATAGGCGTCCCACCTTTCTATTGAGTTTGTATGTAATATGTGGGTAACGTTTGGGTTCCATGGGAGCTCGGGCACTTGGCTACACCGCCCAGGGACAGGTCAACCTGCCCCCTTCCCTCATTTCCTCACTTGTTTCCTTAATCAATCAATCGCATTTTTCTGATGATCCCGGTAGTCCTCCTTCGCCACAATGTTTACTAGTTCGTACGCTTTTAGCTGGCTCTGGCAGATATTCTTCTTCGTTATTTGACAGTTACGTGGCACCAATGACTAGATACCGTATTCGCTAATTAGCTACTAGCTTAATCGCTTACTTAGTATAACGAGAAGTATCTAGCTACTACTAATTATCTTATCTCCTACCTATACGGAATAAGATACCTAGCAATCTGCTTTAGGGATAGCTAACTAAATAGCTAGATCTTCACTATTTTATCCGATACGAGCTTTACTAATAATTATAACAGAAAAAGCTCTAAAGGATTTCTTTTCTACCTATTCGGTAGGCTAATTAATTAGAGATCTTGTAAGTAGAAGACGATTACTATATTAATAATAGAAGCCGAACTGCTTACAATTAGCTACACTACTAGGTAGCTATATTAGACAAAGTAGCTATTTTTATTTATCTAATTCGATACTAAGTAATCTGATTTGCTAGATTACGATAATAAGCAAACTGTTAACCTACTAAATCGCGAGAAATTAGTATTTTAGACTAAACTACGCTACGTAGATATTTATTAGCTTTAGATTCGGCAAGAAGTTTAGGCTAAGTAGTTAATAGTTAAATAGGTTAAGACGACTGAAATA